TGTAACAGGGTGTTTACCTGTATGCATTCATTGCTTTCATTGGCATCATTGGAACTTGTTAGCTACTGGCTTATTTTTCCTCCTCTGAGACTAGGGAGAGTGTTGCAAGATGCCTTGTAAAGAAAAAATACCAAGCTTACAATATTTAGAAGAATGTACAGATTTGTATTGAATTTTCACTTGTTTGTATTTAAATGGAGTAATTAATCTGATTAGAATGCAAGGTTGATGGTGCACAGACCTCTCCTGCCGCCTGCTGCTCCCCTCAGCAGTGTACTTCGGTCCTTCTGCATGTTCTGCTCCCCGCTCTGGTGAATTCTCTCTCCCTCCGCTTCTGACTGTACCCGGTGCTTGTATAAATAAATAAATAAATCTTTAAAAAATAATATAAAATAAAAAAATAGAATGTAAGGTTGATAACTATGATAAAGACATGAAAAATATACACAAACATTGTTACTATAGATCTCTGCAATGTGAAGCACTTTTCCTTTAAATTATAGATTTAAGTTATCTTCAAAATCAGATGTGGTTTTGTGAAAATCAGAAATAGAATTTGGTTATCCATGAGAACTACTGAAACTGAAAATCAGTTGTTTGCAATAATTACGTTCCATGAAAATCAGTAACTAATCAATTTTATGCCATTTCTCAAGCTTGCTTATGTTATTATGACATGTATGGTATTTCTTTCCCACTGGCAAAGGTTAATGTCAAGGAAAGTAGACAGAAGTTGAAATAAAAACTGAGTCATGCACTGCTTTGCTTTACTCTTTGGGCTATGGAAGTTCTCATCTATGATTGTATCAGTTAAATATGGAAACATCGCATCCATGTTGAAATTTTATTTCATTTTTATAGAATCAGGGAAACTTTGTTTTAGCAGCTTGAATGTAAGGTTTCTTTGCCCATACTCTCATGTGTGATGTGCATCCTGTTCTCTCCAGCTACATTTTTGTTTAATGTTTTTTCTTTATTCTGTTTGTTCTCTATGCATGTGTTGTTAGTCTTAAATTGCAAACTCTAAGAGAGGAGAATTTCTTGCCATCCTTCCTCTAGGAAGAATTAACAACAAATAATGTGTAGATAATGATTTAAAATATGTGTTTGCATGGCAATAACTATTTATTTATTTCCATTAAGTAGGACAAATATATTGATGCCGTTCATGTGTTCTGGTAAAATGGAGCACCATCATTTAGCATCTACATATCTCTCAGTATAGCCAAAATGTTTCCTTCCGGTGGTTTTTACATCTCTGGATAAATGACCCTGGCTAATTTGAAATTCTTAGGGTAAGATGGAATTGACTGATCATCTAGTCCAATTTTGTCATTTTACAGATGAAGAAACAGACCCAAAGATGTAAAACATCTTGCCCCATATCACACAAAACTACACTATACCTACAGCCTGATGGTATATATAGAAATGTATGTTGGGTCGTAAGCTGTGCTGAGCCAATTCTTTGGCATGCTCTTTTGTTTACAGTAGGATGTGTATTCTAGAAAAGGCTCCTTCTTGACTTGGGAGTTAAAACAATGGCAAAACGTTGTTTTAAGTTGTGCAGGGTTACTGCGAAGGGGTCTGAGTAGGTGTGTGGGCATAGCTGAAACAGTTCGTTGTACACTGCTCTGGCATTTAGTTTTCTGGTTTAGATGAGGCTAGTTTCTTGGAAGAGGGAACCACTGTGATACCAATATTCTTCTTCATTTATTGCCACTTCTATGACCTTGAGCTAGAGACACTTATTAATCCTTTTGTCTCAGATTCCTTCCCTGTGATTGTGATTCTAAGTAGATCCCCCCACAGGGCAGTGAATTGATTAATAATTTAAAGGTGTTTTAGGAAATCAGAATCAGAGTCTGTCTGAGGCTGGGGTATGATTTATTAAGTAGTGTGGTAGTTCACTCTTCCTGGAGTTTTTTTCCCAGTGAAGTTTCCATATCTTCTAGTTGTTTTGTTTTCAAATACCAGGTCTAGTATTATTATTTTAAAAGCTGTGTGCAAGGGTGCTTAAAAATGTGGGGCAAGAATTTCTGCCTCTTGCAATCAGGGAGAGAAAGCTATCAAATTGAAGCCTGGTACCAAAGTGATAAGCCTACTTTATCACTATATTTTGCTTTTTTGTATATAACTTTACTTTATACATTTGTAAACTTCCTTATCATTTAATTTAAAAGTTAGGTGTTCAAGAAGTTGAGGAGGGGCAGTATGCTATAGTATTGGGAGACTTCTGAGATAAAATGTCACAAAAGTTACTTATTCTTAAGGCTTTTGTCAATTCAACATGTCTTGTTATTCCCTGTGTTCATTCCTGTATAGAAAGTTACATGTTCCAAGTCAAATTGGGAACTCTCTTGACTTTGATTTTTCCCCTTTATTTTTGTACGTAAAATAGTCTTGCTTTTGTTACTAAATGGATATTAAGAATCTGAAGAAATATAGATAATTTCATACCTTTTAGTTAGTCATCTTTCATCTTTGGGGAAAGAAAGCTGTAAACTACAATGTGTCAAAAAAAAAAAAAAAACCCACCAAAAACCAAAACATTGCTTTGAGTTAAAGAATCTGCTCTTGAAAATAAAAATAATATCTATTTAAAATGTTTAAAATACAAGATAGTAAAGGTTGTGATTTATTAAACTGGTTCCAGAAAAAGGATAGTTAGATTATTAGTAAATGATTCAATTTTTCTTAAAAACAACTTTGATTATAGCATTCACTTATTTTTAACTATTTAATTAACATTTTAATGTTATGTGCTTAAGATTAATTTATTACTTTTGAAATTCCAGAAGCCTCTAAAAATTTCAATATAACCAGATATTAATGTAATATTGCTTAGAGTTAATTAGACTTTATATACTCTATGAGTTATACTTTTTAGGTAAGTAAATGTTTGGAATTATCATGTGATCTCTATTTATCTAAAAACTCATAGAAATGAACAATATCTGAGTTCAAAACAATGTTTTTGTTGATTGGAACATCTTCCCTTTGTACTGGCAGAGAGGAAATTTCCCCCTACCACTCTGAGTTCTTCAAGCGATCAGATTAACATCAGACAGATTAGTAGGAGAAAAGAATGAATTTATTTATTTTTTAAAAAGATTTTTATTTATTTATACAAGAATCGGGGTACAGGCCAGATTCGCGGGAGGGTGAGAGGATTCACCAGAGACAGAGCGGGCAACAGAACAGGCAGACTGACTGAAATACACTGCTGAGGGGAGCAGCTGGTGTGACAGGAGAGGTCTGCCATGCCATGTGGGACCCTTGCTGGCAGGCCGGAATCGAACTGGAGCTGCAGAGGCTGCAGACAGCTTCACAGCGCTGTGCTCAACCTCCTGTGCCACCAGGGGAGGCCCAAAAGAATAAATTTAATTACATACTTTGGGAGACTCTTCATGGATGGAAATTCTGTAGTGAGACAAAATGAGGATATTTATCCTTAGCTAAGAAATGTGATGTGGGGGTGGAACTTCAAGGCAGGAGGAGGAGAATTCACATGATGAGGAGATGGTGACTCATGTGGCAAAGATGCTCTGTAATTACATGTTTCTCTTGCCATATAGATATTCTTATTTCTGGGGGAAAAGTCCTAATTCTAGCTAATACCCCTAACCTTTTTTTTTTTTTTTTTTTGAGACAGCTGAGGGAATGGCAAAAGTTTCTCCTGAGCCTGCAGGGCATCAGTTGATTTCAGCATTAACTAATCCACATACCAAAGTAACATGTTTTGGTAATACCTATTTTGAACATTTTGAGGAGGTCTACCTTTCTTCTCTCTAGCTATCTCAGGTGTTGCGTGTGTGTGTGTATGTGTGTGTGTGTGTGTGTGTATTAAAGATTTATTTATGCATACAAGAGCTGGGATGTAGGTCAGAAGTATGGGGGCAGAGGTGAGAGAATTTACCATAGACAGAATGGGGAGCAGAACAGGCGCATCTACTGAAATACACTGCTGAGGGGAGCAGCCAGCGAGACAGGAGAGGGCTTCTGCACCATGTGGGTTGGCTCCCTGGCTGAGGGGTCGAACTCATGCTGCAGTGGCTGCCAATAGCTTCATAGTGCTGGGACTTAATTCCTTGCGCCACCAGGGAGGCCTTCATATGTTGCATATATTGGTTGTAATAGTCAAAAAATGATGTTTGGATGCTTTTATAATAGGAAAGTACAGAATGATAGTGGTTAAACCACATGAAAGTTTGCTTTTCTCCCAGTAAAAGAAGTCCAGAGCACAAGACCAGGGTGCAGTGATTCCTTGTTACCACATGGGACCCACACTCTATCCTTCTCTGCCCAGCATACTCAAAAGCATCTCTCAGAGGGCAGCTGGAGCTTTGACCTTGAAGTCTACATTATTGACAGAAACAAGGGAGTGGGGCTAGCAGAAGGACAAAGAGAGGGCCTCTCCTAATCGAGTCAGCTTTCTTTAAGCTGCTTTCACAGACTTTGTACAGAGCAGTCCCACTAACATTCAGAATAACATGTTTAAAAGCATCATTCTCATAGATAAACATAGAGTTAATTCTTTCCTGACTTCACTTCATGTGTTGGTTATCTAGAATAAAACTGACCTTAAGGTAGAGAGGTAAGGAAAGGGAAAGGCATTTTTGTGCAGTGTCATAGAAATCAGTTATAAACTTAGCCTCATGGCCATACCTAGCTGTACTGAAATTAGGGAATGTGGTTTTTAAATATTTTTGGCAGTAATATATATAAAATCCTGAAAATTAAGGATTTTATTCCTTAGGAATGGGGAGAGAAAGGATGTTGAGGTAAGCAATAGACTATGATTTTGTGTTTCTACTATATCTGGGTTGTGGGGCTACTATGTAGAAACTCAAAACACCTCTTTCTGTTTTGCTATGAGCTATAGTTTCTTAATTTAGAAATCTGGCTTAATTTAGAAATCCTGTTTCTTCTGTGAAGTATCATTTCTTTATTTGGCAATCTTGTCTGACTCTTGCTTTTTTCTTTCCTCTTGCTTTCAGCTGTTTTGGAAAGAAGTAAGATTTAGACTTCTCCATGTTAACCATGAGCGTGACACTTTCCCCTCTGAGGTCGCAAGACCTAGATCCCATGGCTACTGATGCTTCACCCATGGCCATCAACTTGACACCCACTGTGGAGCAGGGAGAGGGAGAAGAAGCAATGAAAGATATGGATTCTGACCAGCAGTATGAAAAGCCACCCCCGTTGCATACAGGGGCTGACTGGAAGATTGTCCTCCACTTACCTGAAATAGAGACCTGGCTCCGCATGACCTCAGAGAGAGTCCGGGACCTAACCCATTCAGTCCAGCAAGACTCGGAAAGCAAGCATGTGGATGTGCATTTAGTTCAACTAAAGGTAAGGAAATTCTCTGGTCTCAGGTCCATTCCAGTCAGAGGTCTGTAAAAGGAATTGGCATCTACAGGCTGCTTTCTATAATTCTCAGTGAGCAATTGCCTAGGAAGAAAACAGAATAACAGGTTTAAAAGCATCATTCTCATAGATAAACATAGAGTTAATTCTTCCTGACTTTACTTCATGTGTTGGTTATCTAGAATGAAACTGACTTTAAGGTAGAGAGGTAAGGAAAGGGAAAGGCATTTTTGTGCAATGTCATAGAAATCAGTTATAAAGAATAAAAGTATTACAATAGTTTAATAAAGACTCTCATAGGTGTAAAATAAAACTGAGCTCTGAATTTTCAGTATGTGTATGTGATTATTATCTTCTGTTGAAGTTGATGCTGCCTATGTGGCAAATTATGGATTCTGGCATGGTGGGGAAGGGCAGTATTGGCCTTTTAGAATGAATTTCTCTATCCAAGTACACTTAATCACAAAAAACAAAGGTGCCTTTATAATAACTCATCTAAAGCTCAGATATCTAATATTTATCTGACTTCTAGAGCCCTTAAAAAGCCTAACTATTTATAATAATGAAATGAAATTGCTGGTAAAGAGTGCTATTAATAAAATTTTAAAATTAGGAACCCCAAATACTATTAATCCTGTCCTGCATAGCTACCCCTCTCTTCCAGGTTCCTGAGAGAAACACATGCTCAAGTCAATGACCCATAAAGCAGGGCAGATATATAACTGATGATTAAGGTGTTTGTCCTTAACCCCAGTGTAAATCTCTAATCAGTTAGTAACATCCTAAGGAGAATTCCTTTACCTAAGCCGGTTTTCCTAAATGATTTGAAAGCAATTACCAAAGAGATTCTTCATCTTAACACTTAAATGGCTTATAAGAGATAAACCAATGAGAAAAAAAGAAGGACAGTTACAGGCCCCAGGCCCTAGAACAGAAATGACTCAGCCTTCTCAGACTGGCTCAACAGATCCTGGATCCAGCTGTTAGATGAGAGTGTGTTCAAGAGAGGGAGGGAGGTTGTTGGAGAGAGAGAGAAAACAAAAGAGCCAGAATGTCAAGCTGGCTGATCGCCCAGGTTGAGCAGGTCTTGTTGGTCTTCTTTCTATAGGTTCTTGGGAAGGAGAAAACACAAAAAGTTAACAGAGAAGGCTAGACCAGCTTCAGTGGAATGCAGAGGCAGTCTCCTACTGAGGCAGCAGGGAATAATGTCTTAGTCCCAGAAAACACCATTCCTTTAATCAGAGGAGCAAGTTGAACTCCAAGCTGCAGTGAAATGGAAGTCGAGGGGTCTACTTCACCCCTTCTGTATTCCCTCTATGCACTTACAGATGCCCCTTGAAGTAGATACAGGGTTGCATTTGTAAGGAAAGTTAGTGGTTGTTCTCCAAAATCTTTTAGATTTACATAGAGAAGATGGTAACTGATAAAGGAGAATGGAAATATCTTTAGAAGACTCCACTAAAAATGATGCTAAATGTTCCTAAAAACATTAGTATGTCAATTGACTTGATTTAATTACATCAGCAATACACTTAAATGAAATTAAAATTTTTAATTCCAAATAGGGATGTATAATTTTTGTAAAATTGACCATGGTTATGCCTGTCTTAGAGATATCACCTCTAGGGTGATTTGTCTTTTTCTCTTTGGAATTGCCTAAAACCTGAATCAAAAGATGTCTTGTACCTGCCTCCATCTTGCTGCCTCCCATGGTGTGGTCTGTTTTCACTGCTGAGAAAGAAGTATTGGTTTTGTATTAAAAGGAGAGTAGGAAGCAAACACAGTAATCACATAGGAGCTAAAAAATGACTAGTAAAGGGATAAATTATAATTGTTTTATGGTAATTTAATTCTGTTTTCTATCATGATTTTTTAAAAAAAAAGATTTATTTATGCATACAAGAGCTGGGGCACAGGCCAGAGATGTGTGTGGTTGGGGGAGTGAGAAGATCTACCAGAGACAGAGTGGGGAACAGAACAGGCAGATTGACTGAAATACACTGCTGAGGGGGACAGTGGGCGAGACAGGAGAGGCCTACCTCACCATGTGGGTTTCTCCCTGGCCGGCTGGAGATAAAACTCATGCTGTGCAGGCTGTGGATTGCTTCACAGTGTGGTGCTTAACCCCTTGCACCACCAGGGAGGCCCTCTCATGATCTTTTTTTTTAATGCTTATTTCATCATGACTTAACCAATCAATTCCGTGTAATGTTGTCAAATATTCTGTTATCATAGAGCTCTTTAACACTGAACCCACAGTAAACAGTGTGGCTTCTTCTACACAAAGATTTGGTTTTGGTCTTTTAATCTACTTAGTTAAGTTTCTCTTTTATTTAGGAAATTTATATATTAAACAAAATAAGCACTTTGAGGCTTTAGAGAAATTAAATATGTGTCATTTTTTAATTTCTGCACTGATGCACACAAATAAAAATGAGCATTTGGGTACAGTGCTTTATATGTGGCAGTATAACAAAGCAACCTTGAAGGAGCAGCTCTCATTTGAGGCATATGGTGAAACAGAGGGCAGGCCTGTCTGGGCAAGGCCAGCCATCTGCTGTGGGCATCCCAGCATGGCTCCCACTACTTTGGTGAATTACTCAATTTATTTACTTACAATGAAAAATAACTGTCATAGAGATGGGGATGCCCATGGTTTTAAGGATCATCCAGGTGCAGATAATTTCTACTTTTCCCCCTTTTCCTTATAATTTTGAAACATTTTCAAATTTACAAAAAATGAATTTTGTGACAATAGTACCTTTACTCAGAGACCCAATCCAAGCTTCACTCCCTGTTCCAATGAAGTCTTTCAATGGCAAAAGAACCCAGCCCAGGGCCAAGCAGGACTGCTTGTGGTCGTGTCTTTTAATTAGCTTTCTGGAACAACTCCTCAGTCCTTTCTTGACTTCATAACCTGAATTATTTCTCTAAGATTTCAGGCCATTTTTTAGAATGCCCATTACCTTGAGATTGTCTGATATTCCCACACGATTAGACGCAGGTAGTGTACCTTTGGCCACAATATCACACATGATGTGTATACTTCTCATTACATCTTATCAACAGTTCTGTGAGGCTGCTTTCTCCCATTATTAGTGATGTTAACTTTCAGCAGATAATTTCTAAATTTATATATTCACCCCAATGTTTTCCCACGTGTACTACTCCCTAACTGACATCTCCTCTTGTGTGTCTAGAGGCATCTCATATTGGATGTGGCCTTTGAGAAGGTCTTAATTCTCTCTTACACTGTCTAATTTCAAGTAAAAGGCACCACTCTTTGCCAAGTCAAAGTTTGACACCCCATTCTACATATATGTCTATTAGCACATCCCAAGATATGCCTTAAAGTCATTCACTTCTCCCCAACTGCCACCCTAGTCATGCCACATCACTGCATGCCTGGGGTACCTTGAAAGTCTCCTTTACCACCCTGCAGTTAAGTCAGTGGTATCTATTAAACATGTAAATCAGGTTGTGTCACTCCCTTGCTTCCTTTTGAAGTTAAAAGAAAACTGAAGTCTCTTCTGTGGTTCTGTTCCTGCCTGCTTCTCTGGCCAGATCTGTTACTTCCCCTTTGTTTATAAACCTCCAGTCACATTGGAAGTGACACATTCACAGCTTTTCCTATTCACTCTGCCTAAAACCTCTCTTCCTCCATTTTTGCCTGGCAGATCCTAATAAAGAAATCAGCCAGAGGTGCCAGTTCTAACATCTGGAGGCATAAACCTTAAGGGACCTAGGAAGAGGTTGGGATTGAGATGAAACTCGTGCTATGTTTGATGAAGGGAAGCAAAAAAGGAACTGTCCTTTCCTAACTTCCTAACACATTTACATGCTCATGTTCCCTTTCACAGTGCTTGCTCTAATTCTTGTCATCACAGTCTCTCTACCATTGTGTTGCTGCATAATTTGGGAAAAAAAAACGAGTTGAGAAATGTTTTTGAAAAACACTAAAGATAGGCTTAGTCTCTGGTTTTGTATTAAACGTCACTTTCTCAAAGAAACTGTTCCTGAACCCTATTTTTGAAACCATTCTCTTCCACCTGTCATTACCTACTCTTTTATTCAACTTATTTTCTAATGGTTCTGAACTGCAGTTGCCTTATTTACTTGTTTATTCATTTACTTGTTTGTATTAGCACAAGGCATCATATGTCTAATTCTCCACTGTATCCCTGTTTAGGCCAAGGGCTGGTCACTTGGAAGGGGCTCAGTTCATATCTGTGGTGGGATAGATGAATCCAAGACTGTGTGCTCAGCAGCCTCTCTCCCCCATAGAAAGATTTGCACTGGAAGGTGAGGGTAAGGATTAAATTAGGACAAAGGCATTAAATGAATCAAGGCCCAAGTGCATGCGTGACAATTATTCTAGAGAGAGAGTCTGTGAAGAGTTCAGATCTTGGAGATTGTTCCTGGGGAATCTGCCCAGGAGAGTCTATTCTTTCTGTAGTGGCTGTGCCTGTCCTCCCCCTATTCCCCTTTCTGTTTAACTCCTTCTTTGGTAATGATTTTGGCCAATAAGCACACTCTTAGATCTTCCAGATTGGGAGTCACTTTTTCTTTAAAGGTGATTCTGATTATCTTCTGGTCATTGTGTTAATCTTAAAGTTTATTTATTTAAAGAGACCACTCTTATCAATATTATTTCCAAGTTTTTTTTTAAAGATTTAATTATTTATGCATACAAGAACTGGGCTACAGCAGGCCAGAAATGTGTGGGGTGAGAGGAGTCACCAGAGACAGAGTGGGGAATAGAACAGGCAGATTGACTGAAATATACTGCGGAGGGGAGCAGCAGGAGAGGAAGGAGAGGTCTACTGTGCCATGTGGATAGCTCCTTGACCAGGGATTATGCTGCAGTGGCTGCGGATAGCTTCATAGGTTGTGTCCTAACCCCTTGCGCCACCAGGGAGGCCCTATTTCCAAGTTTTTAGGGGAAGTTTTATTGTATCCGCAGGATCAATCACAGACCACTGTTA